ACTTTGAGAAGTAGGTGATGGATAAACATAGCACCGCAACAGTGAAAGAAATCATCACTTCTCTTTGTCTGTGTTCTTTCATCTCAAAGCTTTTGGGTGTGATGGGCCGAATGTTTAATGGAAGCAAAGAGTCACTTGGATGTCTGCAATGAAAGTGACATTTGGTGAAATTATTGGAGAAAAGGTCTGCTCACCCGCATCGGGGGGTCATCTCGACATGAGAGGAAGGCGAAGTGAAACTCTGACCTTTTGTCAGCTGAAGCAAATCTTCCTCACTTAACATTCACTGTCGGATTGAATTACGCCCATGCTGCGAGTTCCTCGACTGATCCACAGCCAGCAGAGACGCGACTTTTCAGGAAGCAGTTTTTATTGTCATGCGACGGGCAGATCTGCCTCGCTCCCGCAGTCCTTTTCACCCAAATGACAGGTTGTTTAACGCATTTAACCCAGTCTGCTTATAATTCAGCGTATTTTTCCCTGCATACTCAAATGTCACACACGTTTATTTCAAATTAAACGACAGCGTGTTTATGCTCACGGCCATTGTCGAGATACGCTGAATGATTTCTTTTTTTTCTGCTTACATTATTTAATTACATGAAAGAGTCAAAGTAGTTGGAGCGCCTCTGGAAATGTTGCAGTCGGAGTAATAAACATCATCAAGTCTATCTGAGAACATGGAAGATGTATTACACGTTTCATGTCATCGGGGATGGAGTGGCCAATGGGAAATTCTGGAAAATGTGTTTATTTTCCCAAACGGCCGGTCCTGGGCATCAATGTGATCTTATTAATGAACAAATGTACCAGATGTTGAATGTGTTAGGTTGTTTTAGTAGGTTTCAAGTGTGATTTGCTGGATGGATGTCCCAAACGAATGCGAAAATCTTCCATTGGGGTTGACTGCATGGCGTTGGACGTTATGACGGCTCACAATTAAATGGGCATCACATCACAAGAACAAGAGACAAACTCTCAGGGGGGGGGGATACAGGAGACCAGCTTGCTTCCGTTGCTCCTCTCTTGTGATGTTAGAAGATAGCCTGTCAGTTCAGCCCCTTGTTGTGACAGCGTTGTTAATAAGACATTTGCTGCCAGATGCTCCATTGTAATTGAAAGGACTCCCCCACCCCGTCTTCTGGCTGATCTCAACGCTGATGGAACTTCTGTGCCGTCTTATTTTCTTTTCGTTTTCTCTATCTGTATGTAATGCTCAATGGCCAAAGTGTTTGGAAACACCTTTGCTGCATAAAGGCACAGGAGTGGCACATTGATGAACACTGTGCACGGCGCTCTCGGCATGAACAACACAACCCAATAAAGTGACGACTTTGGGTGAAATATCAATAAAAAGAGACTGATTACAATTTCTTTTTTCATTCTCTTTTCAATTCAATCATTAAATTCACCACCAAGGCATTTAATTTTCAGAATGGCATTTTATTTTTGTTCCTGACACTTTTGGGGGACAAATAACATGCCCCGAGTCCAATTTGACCCAAGTTCGTTCTTGCTCTACCCGAGAAACTAACATAACAGGACGGTTCAAATATGAGTGACTCAGTACACCAAGTCGTGTGGACTTAATATTGCACGACTGTTTACTGTAAATGTTCTCTCGGTTGGATTGAAATATAAATCCATTTAATTTGTGTCATTGTAATCAAACGCGTCTATTGATTTAAAGCAGCGGTTCATACTTGCAGCCTTGTAAAGTTGTAACGTGGCCGCACTGCGTGGAGGTTGAAGATCAGCAATCATTTGCTTTAGTGTTCCTCAAAGGCAAATTACAACTTTTGCAGTAATTTAAAGGCATCTCTCCGGAAAGCGCCGTGCTCCATTGGGATGCTGCGGCATACATTATGGAAGAGATCAAGGTAAGGGGCTGTGCAAAGAGTGCACAGCTGAATGCTAATATCAGCACACTCACACGCCCCCACAAAGACGATTGAGGGTCTGTCTTAAGAATGTTTGCATGCCTCCGCCGGTTGGTCAACCTTAAAAGGTTTGGCGACAGCTGGTCACAGATGAAAAAGGCGCTGTCTATTTCTTGAAAGATAAAATGCATGATGCTCGCTTTGGCTTGCACCGCATTCATTGTTTTCTCCTTTCTTTCTCTTCTCTGCGGTAAATCCTGCCCACGTTTCTTGCGATGGTCACGGTGAAATCCCTCGGCCGCATCGCTCACATTGGAAGCGCTAAGACGCTGTCATATATTTTTCTATTTGGGCTTGCCTGCTGAAGGAGCAGACGCCTTCTGTACCGCCAGCCTTCGCAAAACAATCGCAATGGATGGGTCGGTCGACCGTGCACTGCGCTGCTCTAAGTGCAGTGTGAGAGGGCCTCCACTGTGGTGAAATGATCCTCTTGAAGTATGTGGTCGCCACAAAATGTCATTGTTGTGTTCTTTTCAACGTAAAGAAGTCATGCGCTGCATTGTTTTAACAAAGTCAGTCGGTTCCTCGGCTTAATAACATTTTTGTGGCATACTTTCAGAAAACTACCTTGAGAATCAAGAATTCGTGACTTTTATGATGGCTCTTATGCAGGGTGCTCATCCTCATGTCTTCCGCTGGCCAAGAATGTGTTTGGCTTTGGTTGGATTGACAATCAGTGGGATGCTAAAACAGTCGCATGAGCTTGAAGCTGATTGAATATTGTTGCGAGAGGTAACAAAGTCAGTCGGTTCCTCGGCTTAATAACATTTTTGTGGCATACTTTCAGAAAACTACCTTGAGAATCAAGAATTCGTGACTTTTATGATGGCTCTTATGCAGGGTGCTCATCCTCATGTCTTCCGCTGGCCAAGAATGTGTTTGGCTTTGGTTGGATTGACAATCAGTGGGATGCTAAAACAGTCGCATGAGCTTGAAGCTGATTGAATATTGTTGCGAGAGGGAACGACAAAAGCAAAAGCAGGACATACGGTGGTGGTTCTTCCAAAAATGCTTCTGTGAACTTCTCTTTTCCACATTTGTAAGATACGCTATACTATCTTCACTCACAAGAACTGTGCGCGCTGACTTCCATTTTATTTTCACATCCCACATAGGTGCGATCCCAAAATCACAAACATACGCAATAGTGTCATCTAATTGTAATTCTTTGTCAATTGTGAACTGGGAGAAAAAAAGGTGTGTGCCTGTTGATTTGATTGAGCCATCCTTCTGCAACGTCAAAGAATATTTGGCAGCCTCGTGAGGAATGTCCCGAAGCAATCTTCAAAGATGAATTTTGGATGTGGCGTCCCATCTGGTTGTTTTCTTTGATCAGACGAGATGTAATCCTGAAATCACTCAACGTGAATTATTGATAAAGCTTTTGTCTCGGTGTTATTTCAACTCGCATTCGCTATACGCGCTGGTCACAACTGCTGTCAGACAACGATGCCAGCTACAATCCCAATCACGCCGCCGCACATCAACATAAGATTCATATTGCAGTCGAGTTCATTTACTGCATATTTTCCGAAGAGGAACACTTATGGGAAAACGGAGCTCTCATCCAACGTTAACACGGCGTTGCAGGAGAGCGGCGGTTGCCGAAGCTCGGCTCATCTTCGAAGCCGGGTGACAGTTTGCTATGGCAGAGGCCATTTAGCGGGTCTGGCACAATCACACCAAAACCGCACGAGTGAATTTGGACTCTCAAAGAGAAACGGCAGACGGTCCAGCTGGAAGACGAGTCGCGAGTGAGGACTCTTGCGTGGCTTTCGGTTTGGAAGAATGACTTGGAATTATGGCTGCTGTGTTTTCTCTGGAATTTTTATTCGGGTTTCAAGTGTGAGGTGCAATCGTAAACACATCATTCATCGTGGAATATTTAGTTTGTTTGCTTCTGAATCTGCGTGCCCGTTTATCCCGGAGAATGTGGGCGTAACGGTTTTTGAAGTAAGAGGCAGTTTCACGTTATTGACTGCATTCAGACCATTTTCCAATCAATTATAATCACAACATTCATATTTAGGTCGCATGAATATCTGAGATTTCCGAGCTTTATATATAAATATGTCAGCTCTGTTCCTTCAGAGAGCTGTCCTGAATTGTACTCGTGACTGTTGGAGTATTTCTTTTGAAAGCAGATCGTATTATCAGATGAGTTGCCTTCGGGATTTTGTCAAAATAAGAACAATGAAATGAGGAGTACGCATGACAAGAGTACAAGGGGCCGTGGGGATTAGTGGCGCGGTGCGCAGCGGGCTATGTTATTTGCAGATTTCAATATGAACGCAGTGTTGGCATGACTGTGACGGGGTGTCAGATTTTCGGTTTGACTCACAGCCTCTCCGTCTCTTTCACTCAGAAAGCAGCGTCCACGAGGGAAGTTTTGGCAATGACAACGATGGCAGCATATGTGGCAGTGACTCCGTCTTCTACAAACAGAGTGAAGGTGAGGACACTGCTGTATTGAGATTTCTGCCTCTTGTCCCCCCCCACACACTCGTTTTGTTTTCCTGTTCGCTACATTGCCAGCATGGATAAATAAACATTTATTTGTATTGAATAAATCCCGATTTTGGGTCAAATGAAGTGAAAATGGATCATTTCCCAAGGCATCTCCTGATGATTGTGTTCTTCATATGTGTGGCATCAGGACACAGTATGGCTGAGACGCTCACGGTCGCCTTGCGCGTTGCTGAGGAAGCCATAGAGGAAGCCATTGCCAAGGCAGAAGAGTTCAGTGACAGTTTGGTGAGACCTTTGGGCAGCCACTCCGCTTCCTCCCTTCTGTGTCTCTCTCTTTTGTATAAAAACACGTAAGATTAGGCATACCTTTACAATAAAATAACATTCAATCTAAGAGAAGTATCAATAATTCTACAGTGCTTTTCAACACCACAATAATCAAGGTAATATTCAGGTAATGCGTTTCTCATCGTATCAAACCTAACTGGGCATGATTGTCTTGTCATTTTTAATTTTTTTTTTTTCTTATTCAGGTAATGCGTTTCTCACCGTATCAAACCTAACTGAGCATGATTGTCTTGTCATTTTTATTTTTTTTTTTCACAGCATGTGGTGATCATTCAATCGTGCTTGCATTCTTAATGAGTTGTATGTCGATGCAGGAGAAGCAGAATGAGGCTCGATATCTACGAGACCACAAAGAAGAGCTCATAGAGGAACTCGCTACAACCATTGTCCAAAAGGTATTTTGAATGGCTTGATTTCCTAATGCTAATTAATTCGGCACTCTCCAGTAGGTAGAGACAAATGTTTGGCAATCTCTATTGACGTGAGAGTTCACACGGTAGAATGTAAATCTAATACCTAAAATTCGCTTTGACAGAGACTTTTGCATTACACGCCCATCCAAAACGAATGGGAAGAGTGAGTCGAAATCATTTCTTTTTTTTTGTGTATTCTGAAAACTTTTGGCACAGAGGGGCTTGAAAAAAGGGAGAGTTAATATTTAGTTGCAAATCCCGCTGGCTTACTTCCCTTTCACCACAGGTTCTTTCAGTTTTTGTTTGTTTGTGTGATGGGCGGTTGCTCCTTTGGGTGTCTCGCTGTAGTTATCATCGTACATTGTGTTTCGCTGCTTCTCACTTCTAAATAAAGTTGATGTCCTTCAAGTCTCGTGGAGTGAAAATGTACAATAACTTGAAAGGCATGTTTTTGTTGCCGCCTAATGTTCACTAGATCATCCAGAGGAGGAAGCGCTCAGAGATGCAGACAGAGTATGACTTTGTCTGGCCTCAGCCTCAGTCTTTGATTCAGACCAGTGATCAAGTGTCACCTTCGCAAGCTCAAACGTCTTCACAAGGATCTTCGGACCCCCTCAAAGCATCCTCCACCCTCTCGGTTAGTCAGCACCTGCACACAAGCACGCCATACAGCCAACATCCCAAGCAAAAAAAAAAAAAAAACGTAGAAAGGACTTTTTGTTACTTTCTTGATCCTGAATTATGAGGAGGATCTTGTGAGAGACTGTTAAGGGACTGCGGGTGTCTATGACGTATTATATGTTTGAAATCCCATTTCACCTGAGAATAAAACTGGAAAATGAGGAGTGGACGCAACAATGAAACAGATGCCTCCCAAATAAGCAGCCCAGGCTTCATCACACTTAAATTCACACAAATCTGCCAGCGGGGACTTTTTGTCATCAGTGACATTTGTCATTATCCCGTGCTCGAGCAAAGCATCAAAGCTGCGCTCCGGGGGCCTCCCTGCTCCGTTTCACGCGGTTTTACTGTGCCGTGATCAAAGTCCCGCGGAATGCGCTTGGATCCTTCCTCGGCAGCTCAGCCCGCCACGGGACAGACTTGCTTTATCAGCGTCAGTTCAAACACGCTCAGTTAGACACCCTTGCGTGAAAATATGCAATGGGCTCCCTGTGTTGCGGTCTCTGCTCACGGTGATCTCAGCATTGCATCCGCCTCCTCTTATTCAGCCTTCTCTGCTCAGGATTATAGGCTTGATTTTAGCTCCACCTACTGATGAGAATTTTTATCCTCACTGAGTTTCTCTTTACTGATTTGGAATGGAACTTTTTCCTGGATTAGTTATCTTAACTAAGGTGATGATGCTCTGACTGCTATTGTATTGCATCAACTCAATTCAGGCGCACACGATGCAGAAGGCCTCTAATTTGGTGCTGACTCAAATCAATAATGTTCAGCCGTCTCTACCGTCCCATTCTAGTGCAGCATATGTGGTCCTTCATGTGCATTTCTACCTGTGTGTGTGTGTGTGTGTGTGTGTGTGTGTTTTCAGCGCTCACGCTCAGCCTTCTCCCTCACCAGTGACGACTCTCCCGAAAAAGTTCCTCAGGACGAGGCCGTTGGCACGGGCGGCAGCCTACAGGAATACTCGTCATTGAAGAGAGAGCCCAAGGCCGCATCCCTGCCCACCTGGAAGAGTGTTGACCGGCTGGACAATTCCAGTAAAGTTTGTTTTGTATCCCACCAAGATGGGGTCAGAGGGGGATGGTTTCTCAAAAGACCATTTGAATAATTCGGTTGCCGATGTTGGTTCCCCAAAGCGCTTGTTGTGGATGAAACAATACTTTCATCTTTTGCCCTATTGATCCAGGTGCATCATCAGTCCTCCAAAGTCCAGACGGCAACTGGATTGCTCTCCACAGCTCTCAGATGTCTCGTCCCAGCCTGCTCACCAAGAGGAAAAGCCTGGTGTTCAGTGTCTTGGAAAAGGAGTCCGGCGTTGTCTCAGCCTACGACGAGATGGGTTCTGACTCCGAGGAGGACGACCGAGGCAGCTGGGGCGCGGCGTTGCAGCAGTTCCGCCGCAAACTGTCCGATGAGACCTACTACACCGACTCGCAGCATGACCCCGAGTGGACGTATACGCAGCACCTGCCCGTGACCTCGCCTTCTTCTGGCCAGTACACCAACACGGAGACTCTCAATTCTGATTCGGAAGCATCCTCTGCGCGGTCTTCGTGTCCTCGGCGACCACCTCAAAACCTGCTTTGGAGGAAAGGACCATCAGACACGCATCTTCACCCTTACCACGTACCGCTGTACCAGCAACACCTTCACCAAAACCTCTCTCCGTATCCGCTTCTCTCAGGGGCTCTCGATGTGAACTATAACCCCAAGGTGTGTAGAAATGCAAAGATTAGGTTTTGGCGAAACCGCCGGATGTGATATTAGGCCGGGATACCTACACGGACTGATACGGGATGATTGCATTCTACTCAGATTATTATTTAAGTCGTAGAAAGGTCAACAGAATACGAGAAGCCCATTTCTGTATGATGCAGTGCACTTCTTCAGCAACTGTCCGTGATTATCTTTGTAAAGGAAAATGGCGTTAATCTCTTCAGTAAATGGGGTCAAAATGACCAGATACCCCAAAAAGGCTTTGTCCTACCAAATCCTGTCTGGTCAACACACGTACCTACCCCACCCGATCTCCATTTGCAGGTGATGGCGGACAGCAGCGAGGCCGAAGAAAGGCAGAACGAGCAGGTGAGGAGGTCACGGCGACGACGCAAAAGCAAGAGAGATTCATCAAACGAGAGCCGGTCCGGGAGCCAGAGCTATTCGCAGTCGATTCAGGTAACATTGTACCGAATTCAAATGGTGGCTCCCTCGGAGATTGCGCACGAATATTGAGAAATGCTGTTGTCGAGTCAGAAGGCGAAAGGGACCATCGTAGGACTGCATTTTTATATTGTATTATCCTCACATGCATGTTTTGGGGATGTGGGAAGAAGCCACTCCGGAAGGTCGGCGCCGTGATTTAAACAGAGTACCTCTGCCATGTTCTTCATCGCTATCGCGACTGGCGTCAACTGTTCCGGCAATGGAATTCCTTTGTTGGCCTTGATTGTGAATGAATATGTTCTATTTTGTGTGTGAAGGAGACTAGTGGTTTTCTTCTGGATGACCTCCTGAAAAGGGGCTTAAGCGAGGACAAGCCTGTCGCCGACACAGTGCCCATGAGCACAGCAGCACCAGATGCCTTCCCAGTAGATGCCATCACACCCGAATCCCATGACTTGGACCAAGCCACCCCGAATTCGGTGGACCCGAGCAGCCCTTCGGGGCCCCACCACGGGGGCTCGGGACCTGTGTCCAGCACAGCCCGCCCTCTGGAGGAAGAATTGCGGTCCAGGGTCAGTAAGCTGGTCAGGAGCCGCACCAACAGCAGAGATCGCAGCTCGTCGGATGAGGAGTGGCCCCCGCACAAACAGATGGAGGAAGAAAGCGGCAGAGCAAAGCCGAAAGACACGGAAAGAGAGAAGACAAGGTCAAGTGTCAAATTAAAAGAAAAAGCGGGCGAACCGGCCCGTCAATTGAATGGTGAAGAGATGACAAGAGGTGAGAGGTCGATCAGAAGTCCACCGTTGAGTGGGGAATGCCGAGTGAAGGAGAGGAGGCTTGAGAAGCGAGCGGGGAGTTTGGAGGAGACACTCGATGAGAAGGAGCAGAAGAGAGGAGAGCGAAGAAAAAACAAGAGACAGCATCGGCGAGATTTGGAGAAGGAGATGTACGAATGGAAGAGCGCCTCCGGTGCTGCCAGCGCGTCTGCTGTTACGCCATCTTCCCAGGAGGCGGTGCTGTCTGACAACCAGGTAAGGTGGTGGAGCAACTCAAGCTCTGCCTTTTTGTCACGTTATCGGTGCTGTGCTGAGAGGGATCAATACATCTACTGATTAAAGCTTCAGCCAGTGATTCATATCATATTGAGAAAAGATCTGTCTCTCTTCCCTTTCACGGCCAGCGTTTGTCTATGTATATCTGAGCATATTTAGCACTCAGACAGACACAATCGAAACATCATCAAGCAGGGCACAGTGTACTTTTTGAAATACTTTGCATATTGAAAATGTGAACCCCCAGACTATGGTACCTTTTTTTTTTCTTGTGGCTATTTGAGAGTTTGTTGATTGATTTTTGACTCCATTCGTGCAGTTTGGCCTCAGATACCCATTTTCCACCCCAAAAAAACAAGTTCTTGCAAAGAACGCAGTCATGACGTCATCGTAAAGCGTCTAAACGTCGATATTTACCCAAGAGCGCCTTCTGCATCATCAGGTCACTTTGATTAGTAAGTTTTTTTTTTTGTTTTTTTTTAATAGAGGTCATTATCAAGTACGACATCAAAGGGAATCGATGCACCTTATCAATATATTTAAAATGGTTGTGATGTCATGAAATCAGGGAGTGCTTTTATGGACCCCCGTTCCTTGGTAGAGCTGATAATAAAATCTTTTTTTTTTTTTTGTGTGTGTGTGTGTGTGTGTGTGTGTGTGTTTCTCGAGAGAAGCAGAAGTATTCTGCGGCCTCACTCTGCAGCATCACCACGGAGGTGTTGAAGGTTTTGAACGCCACCGAGGAGCTGATCAGCGAGGCAGGAGGGGACGGCTCCACGCCTTCAGAGCCTCAGAGCACGTCCGCCTTCTCCAGCAGCTCTGAGACTCACAAACTGGACCAGAGGCTCACCAAGATGGAGGAGAATGTAACTTTAAATGCTTGGTCTCCCCTCAATGGCTAAAGGTTATTTTTCCAGTCCTAACAGGACCTCAATGGTTTTCTACCTTGAAGGTTTACCTGGCTGCTGGTGCTGTATATGGCTTGGAGGGGGCTCTGGGGGACTTGGAGCAGTGTGCCCGCAATATCAGTAGTGGGACCACGGACACTGAACTGGCATTCCTGGAAGACCAAGTGGCGACTGCTGCTGCTCAGGTCCAGCAATCTGAAATGCAGGTACTGGAGGAGATTGAGTGCCTTTGGTTCTCAGCATTTTTCTTGTTCACCACATTTACCGGGTGGAGCACACCAAATAGAATCCCAGCTGGGTGGCTAGCAAAGGCCGGGTCCTTGGTGGTCCGATCCCAGCGACAAAAGCTGGCTGTTGGGATATGGAATGTCGCCACTCTGGGAGGGAAGGACCGTGCGAGGTCGAGGTGTTGTGACAAGATAAACTCGGCCTTGTCTCAACACAGCTTCGGCTCTGGTACCGGTCCTCTTGTCCATGGTGAAAAACGCCGAGCAAGTTTGGGCATCCTAATTGCTACCCTGCTAAGTGTCTGTACATCAGGGTTCATTCCAGATTGTCCATAACAAATAACGTGTTCAAACATAAGGTTGTTCACATTTTCACTTGGCACCAGGACACCCTTGGCCACACTTCAACGATCGATTCTGTGATCGCGGTGTTTGACTATTAATTCGGTGAAACCATGGAGAACAACTTGACAAATGTGTTCACTCATTCCAACCTTGACTTTTCTTTCAGAGATTGATAAGTAGTCCTTATTTGCCTAAATTGCATCATCCGATGCCTAATGTCATTTACTTACAAGTTAATCGACTATCTTGCATTGTATTTCCACTTGTAGATATCCAACATTGAGGCCAGGATATCGGCTCTTAAAACCGCAGGGTTGAATGTGACCGTTTGCAATCATTTCTCCAAGTTCAAGCCAACGGCAAAGGTATCCAACCGCAGAGCCGCTTGCTGTTCAATGACTATCTACGTCGAGGAGAGTCACGATCATGTCTGTTGTTTTACTGACGATGCAGCCACAAACCCTGGACTCATCGCGCCATCAGAGGAGGAAGCTGCCAGCCCCTCCGCTAAAAGATACCAAATAAAGGTTTGCAGGTTTGCATTCTAATAGAAAGCATTGCACATGTTTCAGTAGGTTTTACTTGACCTGTTTTCATCCATGCACACGCACATTACTTGGGGGGAAAGCAACACTGCGCTAACACACTCCACAAATTTTTTTTTTTAGATTTTATATTACATTTGGAATATTTCATTGATTAAAATAAAAGGTTTTAGGGTAACCTACATTTATTTTCTTTCTGTCTGTCTGTCTGTCTTTCATATGAGGAATCAAGAACTCGCAAGATTTTTGGTACAGTCAATCATAACCTTTGAAAATACGTGAATAAGAAATAGAAATCTCATCCCAAAATGTTTTTTCCTGTAAATCTGTTAAGTGTCACAGAGCTGCCCTTTATCTCAGTTAAGATGATAGTCATTTCAAAAAAAAAGAGAGAGAGAGAGAGAGAGAGAGAGAGAGAGAGAGAGAGAGAGAGAGAGAGAGAGAGAGAGAGAGAGATCTTAAAGTGCTTGCTGGTGTGTGTGTTTATGTGTGTGTGTGTTCGTTCATGGGTGTATCTTCGGTCAGTGTGTGACAGGGAGAGAGAGGCATTTTATTCACTTTTGCTTCAAATCATACATTTCCCGCATTGTGCAAAGACAAAAGCTTGCTTGCTGAATGGAAGTAAAAATGAATACATCTGCTGGCCAGTGGACTAATTAGCTGAAAAGCTCCATTAGATTCAAAGCATCCAAATGGAAACTTGCACAACAAGAGGCCAAAGCTGTTCTATCACCCAACAAGTCGCCGTTTCCTTTTAATAACATTGAATGGGTTTTCTTCCCCCATTTTTTTGAATAACCAGCATCAACTCATTTGCAGCTCTGATTCAGATTTTTTTTTTTTTTTTTTTTTTTTTTTTTTTTTTTTTTTTTTGGTTGCACGAAACCAGCACAGACCAAGACATCTTAGTCACATCACTGATTTTAGATTGATCACCTCTGTTCGGCAGGAGGGAAAGATGTGTTGTTTTGAAATACCGTTTGAATGTTTCCCTTTTTGTTCTGTTATTGCCTTCTAAAATTCAGATAAGATGGAGGCCGAGCAGTCGATGGAAGTCTTTGGGCCACAGTGTGGATGAGGAGCAGCAGCACAAGTCCCTCAGGGCCACACGCCAGAGCCCTGTGGACAAGGGCCCCCTTCCCCCCTCCCCGCCTCCACTCATGCAGTGCCTTGACCCAGCCCCACACCAAACGGGAGCTTACACCTGCCCCGTTGCGGCCCACAAAGCCCTCAGCCCTTTCACGCCATTGACAAGATACGTAGAGCAAAGATGAGTGGACAGTCTCTGCCTTAAAACCTCTCCAAAACCAATCTGTGTACAAATTGTACCACTTGAATATCGACCATGATTAGGATGTACAATGAAGTCATAGGCTATTAATTATGAGACGCTTATCCCTAGTACGGGCTAGAATGTCACGAGGGTTGCACCCGTGAAGACCCGTGCACACACACGCGGCTATCAGACATTAATTCCCGTTCAGGAGGATGGTTGTCATTTGAAACTCATTTCGGACTGCTGGGAAGTAAGACATGTCCCATTTGGAGTTGACCAAGTTGTATGTCGAAGCAATTTTATCAGACGAATGTCCCCATCACTCCCAAGTATCAACAATAAATGTCGATAAATATATTTGACATCTTTTTTTTTTTTTTTTTTTTTTGTGGGTCCTCGCTATTAGGAAACGATAGAGTACTGAGCCCTGCCACAAGTAGTGAAAATTTGCAGTTGATTGACCCCCATTCTCCCATCTGAATGGTGCTCCTCCATTCACTTCAACACTGTTCAGCGGCACCGAGACCAACACGGTTGATTATCTTTCGAATAGACTTTTCCAAGTTCGAGGTTGGAATTTTCTGAGTTAACAGCGGTCTGGCACAAGACTGCCATCCAGCAAAAAATGACCAGTGGCAGAGTTGTTGTTGTTTTGATACTTTTATGCTCTCTTCTTGAACTTTCGACGAGAGCTTGAGCCAGCAACTGGCAAGCTTAGCATCGATGCCACCTCTGACAATTAGCGCATTATCGAGCCATCATTCTGGTTTCAATACGTTTTGAAAATCAGACTCTTTCTTCTTGTTTCCACATGAGCTCAGCAAGAGATCAGAGTGTCTATTCATGTGACAGCTACATTTCCTCATCTAACTTTGGACTAGAATGCAAATGAAAGTCTTATTCAACAGCACTCAACCGGTCGCCGCAACAGAAAAGATTCAAATGAGAATTGATGTTTGAAGGCACACATCAACACAATCATGTGAATGAATCCAATATTAACGTTTCAGCTTTAAAGTGAAAGCGAAGCACGAGCTACCCCTTCGGTGCAGTATTCTCTTCTTCTGATCTCCTTTTCTCTCTTACTCTCCAAATGAACAGCCTATTGTTTGAGCAACAGAGCTCTTCCTGTCCAAACCTCGGTGCCACATACAAGATTTTAACGGGCTGGTTTTGTCAGTGTCAAGAAACCACAGTTTTGGTGACAAGCAATTTATTTTTGTACTTAGAACATTTTTTATGCGCATTATCACAAATGACAAAGCTTTATTTTATCCTGAGTGGTTCCTGTGAGACACGACTCCAATTGCTTTCTGTGTCTGCTTTGAAAATTCGGATGACAAGGAGACGAGGCTAATATGATATTAAATGTGAGAATACTGCTGTCATGTTTTGATTTTGTCCCCGCAGAAAATCCATGGGCAATCCGCAGGAGTGCAGGGTTGATTTCCTGACTTGCATGGTGCAAACCAAAAAACAAAATGGGCAATCCCATGTGCACTTGCTCCACCTCTTTCTCTGAGAGAAACTTTCTTGCAACCTTCTCATGTTTTTTTTTTTTCTTCATGGGGGGAGCACATTGGTCCTGTTCTTGTTTGTCTCTCTTGGAGTGTTGATACAGTATATAAAAGCATGTTTGTGATGTACAAATGTCATGAGAAGCACAGCTAAAACGGTCCAATTATCGGTGTCCTGTATTTTTGTAAAAATGCCATCTCAGAATTTAATATACAGTATGTATATGTATGGGAAAAAATGGATATGATAAAGACTATGTGTAAATGGCCCAATCAACATTCATTGTCGTATGACGCTCGTGAATTCACACAGGAATTAATGGAATTGTGTCCTGCGATAATAATGGAATTGGTCAAGCATCACTTGGTTCCTGTTTAAAGCCGGTGTGACCGACGAGTTTGACGTTTACCGTGCGCAGTGCCACATTTACTTTATGTGCTGTCGTTTGTTGCAGTCCATTTGACATTTTGGGGAAAATATGACCATGCAAAAAAAGTCTCGATAAATAATACACCCATGCGTGCTGCTGTGCACCTGGAGAAAGATGTATTCGGAATGAAATTAAATTTGCAAACTGAAATATTCTCTGGATGTGTGCTGTGTTGCATCCACAAGTCGAGCCTGAACGCTATGAAGTTCATATTTATTAATTCGATATAAACTGCATTTCCATATGTACACAACACACATTTGCAGGTTGATTTTATTAACAATCACCGGGGAGGAACACGGAACGAGAGTGTTGTATCAAGCACAACCTCAGAGTTTGTTGGTTGATGTGAGGGAGAGATGCATGTTGTCATGGTAACCAGTCCCCATCCTCTCCATGCAGCACCTTGTCCAGGTTCTCCTTGTTCCGGAGACTGTTCAAGAGCAGCTCCAGCATCCTGACAACAGGCTGCATCCCCACATCGCCCGCTGCCTCAACGCTGCTGTATCGCTTCCCGAAGCGCCCGATGGGTCTCACGCCACGGCCCACGTACCAGAAGGGGTCTATCTCTGGACCTGGACAACAAACAGGTGCATCACTTCTGTCTTTTAGATGATACAGTGGAGATCAGAATTTACAGGAGAGACGTTGTCACACATACAGCAATGTGAAATTCAATTTTTTAAGAAAAGGCTGAAAATCCATTTTACCTCTTCTTTGAACGTCTATAATAATATACGCTCACTGGTCACCGGACTCAAATGAGATTTTTTTGTTTGATTACAAACTACATTTAGTATGGCACTAGAATATGTTAAAAAAACACACAAAAAACCCTACATTTTCTATTTAACATTCTATATAAGCCCACGAGATTCAACTCTGACTTACTTCTGTTGTCAACGTTGTGCACAATGTGGAAGTCGTGCTCCACCGTGGTGCTGTGTGCGCTGCTGAGGCTGCAGCAGGAGAACAGGATGAGCAGGACGACGAGGAAAAGAGCCAGAGGTGCAGGCAGCCCGCTCCTTGCCTGGACATCGGTCACTCTCCCGGGCAACATGCTGAGGAGTCAGCACTGCAAGTCGGCATAAGAAAGGGCTGGTCAGTAACCTTACACGCACCTCACATGCTCAAACAGGTGGGAAGGTCCACTGACTAAATCATGCACTTCTCTCCACTTGTTAACACACAGTTTCAAATAGAGACTGTTTCAAGGGAGCCAAACTTGATACATCCGCTTACCTGTTGAAAAAAATGACAGAGATGAGACAGTTTGAAGATGTGAGCTGAGATTTTCACCGCTAAACCTGAATTCATACACATTTGCCATCATGGCAAATCTTAAGCAGATCCAGACTAAAATTGGTTATCAAATTGATTTCGTGATAGCGTTAAAAATAAGCGCGAGAAGGACTAAAATTCAAGAAGTACTTTTTAAACCAAGGGTGTGGATATTATGTACAATATTGAATAAAACAGTACATGAAATACAAAATATGATACAAATGAATAGGAATGAAGTGAAATTCTCTACAATGCCAAGTATATAACATCATCATAATGATAAAAAAAATGTTTTTTTTTTGGTTAAATATTTTGAAATGCCACGTAGATTAAAAACGCAATAATAAGCTTACCCTGAACTTTGGTAAGAGGCTAAGGTCAGCTGGCGAGGTCTGTAGTTGTTCGAGCCAAGCAGGTGTGCAGCATCTTATATATCTGCTTCTCATGTGCCCTTGGGATGATGAATAAACACACACACGCACACAGAGGACGCATCTCCCCCCACCCACCACCCACCCCGCGCCCTTACCTTCCCACTCCCGGAAGCCCTTTGCAAATGGACGTGTTCGTTTTGAGTCGTCCTGCCGTCTGTCACGCAGCAGAGGCGTCCATCAGCAAGTTGATGACATGAAGACAACTTTAAATTGGTCAAGGTGGGGGAAACCCAGCACCTCAAGTACATCTCTGTCAGACTGTGATCCATAACTGTGGTGGGTGGCTTTTTCATGGACCTTTCATCAATGTTTTTGATTCCCAGGGGCAAGGCAGTACGCAATTAGTGGTTTCTGATCTGAGCGTCTACTGAATGGAAAGTGCTCCTTTGTAATTTATACATTTTATATATATATATATATATATATATATATATATATATATACACACACACACACACACACCTTTTTGTGTCATGTGAAGGGCTAAAATATCTCATCCTTCACCATGCATGTTGACAAAAAAATGACAATACTGCTATTACATCAATCTTTAACATTTCCTCACTTAACTTTGAAAGCGTTAGCATTTCTTAACATAAGGAGACCAAAAACTACACTGGTTCATGATGAAGAATCTTTGCCCTTGTGCCAGCTCCATGTCTGGTTTGCCTCTTCAAAAACAAGACTGTGTCATCAGCACTTGACTGACTGACTTCGCATCCATCACCTCTGTGAATGGCACCACAGATGAGACCTGGGCGAGTCACAGCATGAGACCACATAATGGATGACTGCTTCTATGTGACATCTTTACACACAGGTCTCCCCCAGCCCCACTTTGGGGGTGGGGGGTGGAAATATCAACTCTATAAATGGATTTTTTCAGAAATTCTGAATTAGAATGTCACGACTTGCTTGGTACCCGAGCATCCTCCCACTGTGCTGCTTCAAGCCATTGAGAAATGTGCTATTGATTGAGAAAGACCAGCCTCGGTGAGTAATTCACAACTTGGCCGGCCAAACCTGAGTTCTCTAGCTCATTCCCTGTACCTGCTACGGTATATTTTGTTAATTGCCTCGTAAATTGTCACCGAAACATGGCGTGGGCTTGGTTTCCTATGTTTGGATCATCCTCTTACCTGGAAAAAAAACATGCTTCAAGTAAGTCATCAATGGGGACTTTATCTTGACTTTATCAAAGCATTCACTCAACTTTTTAACAACTGAAAGTACACTGATATCCACTCAGTGTTCTTCTTAAGAGGTGTCAAAAAGCCATCATGAGTGATTCAGCTGCCTATGGCATCACCGACTAGAGCCAAAAATTGTGGGTTCAAGTCCAACACGAATCATGGAATCTGAAGAACATGAATTTAGAAATATTTTCAGAAACGTTTCTGTATAAATGTTGTCATCAATGAAATAATTTCTGCAGTGGCCGATAATTAAAGCAAAGTCTTCGATGGGAAACGTAACATGCCTTAACTTTTATGTAAACTTTGCTGCCCTCCTGTGGTGAGTTTGATGTACACACTATTTTAACATCATTCATCGTTTCACTGTTGAGCCTCGTCAGCGTCCACTGTATTTGAAATGAGACATGGACAATAAATGGCATGTTATTTTAGGTTATCATCTCCATGTCACAAAGGTTTATGAGCGAACCTCTTTCAAGATGATGTTTAAAAAAATTGGGGTGAGAGCTCTCAAGGAGAGACGACCACATTATTTCTCTCGATGCACGGAGAGCCCACAAACCTCAAACATTAACTCCAAAGTAATGTCCAACACATGCAGTTAAATGTTCTTTGCTTTCATCTATGTTAGTGCATTTAATTTCATTTTCTCCTTGTCCATGCTACCCCCCCCCCCAAAAAAAAATCGGAATTATTAGGTTTGTGACCTCACCAGTCCATGCTACCCCCCCCCCAAAAAAATCGGAATTATTAGGTTTGTGACCTCACCACACATGTACCGTTAAACACGTCGGAGCGGCCCTTGTATATGTTTTTTTTTAATATATTGAATGGTAAAAGAACTTGAATATTAGCATTACACATCCTAGCGTTACTTTGTAAAACGTGTTCATTTATAATTATCGTTGGGATTTTTTTTTTGGTCATATTAGTTGTGTTTTCTGACTTGTCATTGTACTCTGCTGTCTTTTAATTGTACTGTACCATGACTAAGGTTAGTTGATCGTGTTTCGTGACCAGTGGATCTGTGAACACTGAACTTCTTGGACTGCTTTGTCATTATCAGATTGACTGAAAAATCCACGCGGTATAAGTGATTATGATATCACAGGACTTGATGGACTTTGGCCCTCTCATGAAAGTACAGTATGCGTATGATGAATGGTGTTACTATGAACTGTATTGGTGCCAATACAAAATAGAACAAATTCCGAATTCAAACATCTATTTGTACCAGATCGTGCCTTTACACTTTGGAAAACAATATCAGATAGCAAATTTGCACCAACATTCGATTATTCTTCATTCATTTATTCGAGATGTTCGCAACGACACGCAACACAACAGGAGGGTTAAAGTGTTGTTGCACACCACTCCAATAGGCGGCGGTGTACACTCGTTGCTTTGTCTCGCCTGTAAACAAGCCGAAGAAGACGAAGCAGAAGTAGCTGACGGCTTCAGTCGGAATAAAAGTCGCTTCTGAAGAAATTATTTTATATTTTGTGATCTCCTCTGCGTGAGGTGCAACCGCCTTTGTGTTGCAATATGAGCTACAGCATATAGCAAACGAGGAGACAATTTCGAGGTCCGGGACCTGACATTTGACAGCCCACGCAGTTACTTCCTGTGTTGTCGGTGAGGAGTAAGATACGTCTGGAGCGATCAAGAGGTTGATACTCCGAGCAACAGCGTTTGAAGCAGAGCAAAACCGTGTCTGTTTTCTCAATGCGTCGCCGGACACCATGTCACTGAGTTCGGGCGGTTGGACCGCCAGTGTCGTGACGGAACAGCGCGCGTTTCCTTCGCCTGTCGAGCATGGAGCGTCGCAAGCAGAACCCAACTGTCAAACCGTCCTTATGTCTGTTCGGGTGTCGTTGTGCCATTCTGGTATTCGACCGCTGCGTCTTCCGAGAGCAGGCGATGAGTCTCTTCTTCTGCAGCTCAGTATGGACTTGAATAAGTCCGGGGAATTCCATCTGTCACTGCAAGAGTGCAGCGGCGATGGCCGTTGCGCGGTGAGTTCGCTACCAGGCGTCACAGTGTGGCTGCACGTCTAAGCTGTGGCATTTGGCTTGGAAATCCCCTTCCCCCCGCCCCACTTTATTCATTATGGTCAGCAAGAACACGTTTCTTTTGGACTCCAAAGCGTCTTGAAATGCTCGTGCTTTATACCCATTGTTTGTATTGCATGCTTGCTCGGGATACACAGGAGGGCCGTTTAATTACGTCAACAAAACAGTTTTCCGTCTTTAATCCCATTGGAGACTGTTAAGTGTCTGAAGCCTTGGTGCGTAAAAGCTTATCTTTTCACAATTCCCTGTTATATATTAAACATGCCAGTTAACTCTTGATTCCGAGAAAGCGGCAGACTAAAAGGCTAGCTGTACTACAAGTATGGAAATGTAGTGTTTTTGCTCATCATGCAGTGGCACGCAATATTAAGTTGAAATTGATTCGTGAGCTAAATTCTTGATCTCTGATTGTAAGAGTCATAAGAAACCTCAATTCCCCAAAAGAGTACAATACAAGGCATGTTTGGGTGTGGCGGCGCTCCTTCAACAGAAACCGAAACATGTTGAGACAATCGATCTTTATTTTTCAGATAAGACTGTTGTGCTAAGGGAGAGCAATATGGTACCGTCTTGGATCAGACAGACATCATTATCGTCTTACTGTTCTTTATTTTCTCCTGCTCCAGACTATCGCCAAGTATGATTTGAGATCTGTGAACTATGAGGTGAAAACGCCAAAATGTCACGAGCTGAGTCTGTCAGCGCCTCCGCACGATCGTATCAGCTTCAACTTCCGTTGTGAGCAGGAGGCTCAGCAGTGGGCCACTGTCATGACGACATCACTGAGGGAAGCACACAGAGGTCAGCGACGCCTTCCTTTTGACATCCACAACTTACCTTGCACAATACAATCACGTTTTGTGTGAATGTTTTAACTTTCATAAATCGTAATAAGATATGGAGCAATATGGAGCGGCATGGCTCAAGTGGCCGAGTTGTCCTTTCTCAGCCCGAAGGTTGCGGGTTCAACCCCCAACCCTTGTGATCATGTTAAAGTGTCCTTGAGCAAAATACTGAACTCCCAGTTGCTCTTGATGCTGTGTTATTCGTAGGTGAATGAAAAGATTGTGTTTATGTCCTGAACCCTGACTTTCTGTCATTGTTGGGGATCTTTGGCATGAGGCCCATTCGAATTTAGATGCGCAAATTGCGATTCGATTCGAAAACACAATCTTTTAGGGTTGCTCTGATTCTATTCGATGCAGTGCAGAAACAATGTGATTGGTAACAATCATCACAAACGTGCACAAGGCTAAAAAGGGCAAAATGGTATGGCTTGGACTGATATCATCACTGCTCTTGCAAAATAAAAATTAAAAAAAACATGTCTTGGCTGAGCAGAACTCAAATGTGCATCTGTTTTTGTACAATTACATTTTGGGCCAAAAATCAATGACACAAAATGTCAGTAAAACTGTGTTAACTAAAGGCATAGAATTTTTCCTCAAGTCTAAAGATGTCATTATCATTGGGCGCTGTTTGATCCGGTGATGGCGCTTTAATCTGTGGGTTTGTAAAGCCAATTGAGACTCGTGTGAGTCAGGGCAATACAAATAAACGTGATTATTCTTCTTACCGGTACTCTCATTTTGTTTGTTCTATACTTTCTTCTTCTTTCTTATATTCAGCAGCGGCCACTAAAGATGATAACGCAGAGTTTGTCCAACTCCAGGACACCTTATCTTTGCAGCAGTTAGGTGAGTATAAAATTATTTTCAATCTTATTTCACAATTTGTTCACCTCGTAGATCCACAAAGTAACTGATCACCTCTTTTTTATGGATGTGCTCATTCGATCATTAATGCATTGACCCATTGGGGAGCTCTGGCTACAACCTCATCATACATTTGTTGATTTTTATTTATTTATTATTTCACCTTAAGTGGGCCCCGCGTGTGTCTGTGTGCACGTGTATGTGTAAACATCTGTAGAAGACGCATGCATCGAGCTGACCAGAGCCATCGAGGCCGGCGACATGAAGGCAGCGTCCATCTTTGCTGCCAAGCTTTCCTGCCAAAAGGCCGTGCTGAAGATCCAACCCTCCCTACGACAATGTGAAGACACTGAAATCAAGTAGGTTGTTTGTTGGTATTTGCCACCGCACCAGACGCATGAATAGCAGACCTG